TAATAATTAATTCATTATTGAACGAACAATGCTCGATCGCGGATGCGATGAAAATTGCAACCCCCAACAAAAAAATTACCAGCAGTTTGCCAAAGAATCCGGTTATCTGATTTGTCAATATTAGGGTAGTCGCCACTACGCTAAATTCAGAATTTGGGGTTGTCGCGGAAGCTATCACAACGCCGATTTAGCCAGTAAGGTTTGTGAGCATGCGCAGATGTCTGTTACGCTCTATTAGTTCGTAGTAGACTGGCCGCGTAGTCAAAACGAAAAATGCCTAATATTTCTCACGACGGCTCAAGACTGTCCCTGACGATGAATCACGTCGATCTGCGTCGTACTACGCTGTCTGAGTTGGCCTTAACAGTAATTAAATATAAAATGTAATTTCTAGGTAATATTTAAAACGTTTTACTACAGTAGGTCTACACAAATGTGTAAACAAATAATTAGTCGTTTACTTAAAGTAAAATATATAGTCATAGAGTTAAACCGTGCAAAAGGAAGCCAGTTCTCAGTATTTGCCTAATTAATGAGAAATACTAAACAGTTAACCACGTGCACCATAATATTTAAAGATATGTTAGTAATAAGTCAACAATTTTATATAATAATGATGATGATGATGATGATAATAATAATAATAATAATAATAATAATATTAATAATAATAAAGTATTTGTATATAGTTCTTTTGTGCGCCCAAGAAGCTAAAAGTCATAGTGTTGCTGAGTAACTTCCGAAAAGCAGCGAGAGAGGTCGGGTTGAGGATGAATGATGCCATTCTAAGAGGCAATGAAGCAGTAATTGTCATTTACCTGGTGTTATGACACAGAAAAAAACCTCCTTATTTTTTTTCTATATTAGCCCAAAACAAAAATCAACTGTGTATAGTTTAGCTGCGATTATCAATGCCCATGATTTGTAATGAACTAAGAAGAACAATGTTGATATAATATTAGGCAATATACGATCCCGTCTTCTTGGGAGACATTCAACCAATGATCCGTGTATGGATAAATAAATTCATCATTATCAACTGAATGACTTTTTGTTAGGAATCGCGCGTTCTACAATAATTTGACTCACTTAAAATCCCTCAAAATATATAATGGTGTCCACAGAATCTATTTAGCTATTATGTGGTATAATTCTATATAATTATTTTAAATTAAACTCTGGCAAAAACTATATAGTTTTCACAATTCCAAGAAGTACTTGGACGAAGTCGTCTTTGCATTCCTCCTTGATGTAATCGTGCACTCTCTTCGAGTGTAAGTTGTAAAACTCAGTCTTCATTCTCAACAAATCAACCTACAAAATAACAATTTTAATCATTAATTTATGAAACTGTAATTGAATGGAAAGAAATGATAGTAGAACGTGAATATATACTGTCTCTTATCCACATCT